CTTAGTAGCCGTGGCTTGGTCGCCCATAATGAATATAGAAGAATTCATTTCACTGGTCTAAGGTTTGGGGCCGGTCCGAGGTAGTCGCTCGGAGTGGACTTGCCTAGCCACTGTGTCGTCGTGTCGTTAGTGGACTATGGCGGGAGGGGTCCTCTCCCCTTCTGCGCCGCAGCCAAGGTATAGTCGCGAAGGAAGAGAGGTGTTGGTATGGAAATGCACGAATCACCTTATTCTCCGCGAGTCTATTAGGGTAAGACCGTTAACGAGATGGTGGTTGGACCGCGATAGGAGAAGTCACTCTTCCTACCCCCTGCGAACGAAACGTGGTTGGTTGTAGCCATAGACTGGATTCACCAATTAAATCAGGAAGGCTGGTGCTTCAGAGTAGTTGATTTTCCTGACTCTATGGCCTACGCGTATTGGGTCGAGAAGAAAGGCGTGCCTAGTGCGCCTTACCTGAGAAGGAGAAGGGAAGAAGTTGTCCTTTACTGCGGGGGTGTACGAAAGTGTTCCCATGGCCGTGCTAATAAGCGGTTAAGGTGAATTTCTACGGGGTTTTAGTCGGTGCGAGTTCGACATGCTCCTTGAGCCGAGTATGTGTAGGCATTTCTACATGTATATAAAACGTTTACCATCACTCTTACCGCATCAAGCTAATGTAAAAAGTTGGCAAGTATTACGACAACGCTTTCTAGTGGACTCTTTAGTAGAGTTTATTAATTAAAGCACTTTAGGCACAAATATTATTTATTCATGTACTTAAGCTGGGTACAAGATACGGTATGAAGATACTCGTATAGGCTATAGCGTATTTCTAATACTTCTTAAATAAATTTTTACTGTCGCTTTTAATATTTTAGAATGTTTCATAACCCTACTTAGACGTGACGGACAATAAAAATGGAATGCAAAAGGTATAAAATACTGTCGTAGTACAAAAAGAAAAACTCAACATAAACTATATTTTAATAAAGAAACGTTTTGTACAACGAAAATCTGACTCGGGTACCATGCGTACTTTGAAATTTTGTAAAGCGCTTCACCTGAGATTAGCACATTGGCACCAATGAAATGTTTACTTACTTGATTTTTCCTAATACTCTACACGGTACATAATTAGAAAATAATATTAAAGGTTAAGTAGTAGTAACGATACGAATTTAGAAGTCTATTATTACAACGACAGAAGGTTCATTTTTCAAGCGTCTTTACTTCAGGATGTAGGTATTCTTTGTATCTCAGCTTAACAGTAGCACGTTTTGGCACTTATATCTTCTCTACATTGTATATGATGTTCATAATAAAGTTCTATGTAAGAAACTCGCGTGTTTTATTATTGAAAAACAGAAACCTACAAGAATTGTAATAATATAACGGGCTTCAGGCGAAATGGGTGTATAAAATATTAAAAATCGCTAAAAAAGATAAATTGCTTAGTTTTTTATAAAACTTAAGTATGAAATGAACTAACAACTTATCTGTGTGCTAGTGGCTACTGGAGAGAGAGAGAGAGAGAGAGAGAGAGAGAGAGAGATGATAATATTCCAGTTAAAAAGAAATTAAACAATAAGCAATTCTTTAAGAGTTGTGCTGACTAATAAAGAACACTAGGTCATATTCATAATATTATTGTATTGTCATCTGTTCTACGACTGCAAAATTTCAGATTATACAGACGTCCGGAATTGGATGAAAATTTAGACAATCCATTACATTCATACATACATATAAAAAGTTCCAGCCTATATACGTCCCACTGCTAGCACAGGTCTCTTCTTGTTTCCGAGAGGGTTTTTTTTTAGGGAAAGGAAATGCCCGCCACGCTGCCCCAATGTGTGTTTGCGAACTTCACGTCTTCGAAATATATTTCTTATTTCTCAGGTTTCCTCACAAAAGGTTTCTTCATCGCCAAGCACGTGGTAAATAAGCACTTAAAATTGAGTTAACAATATCATTGGTGCTGGAGAGGATCGAACCTGAATTGTTAGCGTACTGTGAAATTTATAGCGAGCGCTTAGCCCTGAGGTACCACGGCTCTTCTTTAAATACATATAGGTCCAAATTAAAGCGATAAAGAAAAAAGTTTGGTCGTATAGTTTGGGAAAATATTATACTATTTAAAAAAATATACAAGTATATCAACTAAAATACAAGGCAATGGCGCCAAATTGCGAATAAAATGATCAAAAATTTTTCTCCTTAAATACACGACCTTTAATCTACCAATATTGTTCCACAGAGGCCGCCGTCGATCCTTAAATGTCAATGGTTATTCTCATAAGATGTACGATATGACCAGAAACTGACTTGAAATACTCATGCATGACATGACAGATGAGTAAGCAATCTATTATCTATTTCCACGGGTATTCATTGGGTTCTATATGAGTTAATATATTTTATAATAGCTTGTCATACTTGATTAGGTATGTATTTCCAGAGGTTACTAGAATCTTCACAGATCTGTCTATCTAATATAATGAGGACAATGTGGTTTTGTGATTGTGACTCTACTTAAAAATATCAGGAAAAATCATACAACCTTTTCTAAATCAATGTTGGGGCAAATAGCTTAAAAAAACACCGTGATTTTTGACAATACCCGCACTTTATTTCAATCACTCACAAGCATTGTAAATGTAGCTTATAAAGTAGATTCTATACATATATATTTTACTTAATTAAAATATATTCATTTGGATAGTTATGCATAGGACGGAATTCATCGAGAAGGACATGGTGGGATACAAGGTGTCATGGGAGAATGTTCTGTTGAACACGGTGGTTGGTACAAGGAAACGACCGCGCAGCCTGAAGTCCTAAAACGAGACGGAGGGTTTGGTTGGAAGCAGATGATAGGTGGACTCGGTACTGTAATGCTGGGAGGTTTCACAACTAGCAATCCCGGTGCTGGTGGCTGTATTGGAGGTGGTTGTACCTGAAATTTTTTCATAAAATAATTTGTCTCTAAAGAAGAACATAATAAAAATTCACATTGTATTAAGCAAATTCATTTGAAACAATTAATATTATTTAAAAAAAATGATATTCAAGAAGTATCAAAAATTCGTACTTTAATTGGAGCAGGCTTTGGTGGTTGAACCGGCGCAGGTTTAACAACAATCGGAGCAGGCCGAGGTGGATACACAGGCTTAGGCCTGACTTCAATTGGTGCTGGGGTAGGCGGTTGCACTGGGTCTGGCTTCACGTATATTGGAGCTGGGGCAGCTGGTTGAACTGGTGGTGGTTTCACCCATATTGCAGGCGGTGTGGGCAGACGGATAGTTCCTGGTCGGACAACTATTGGAAGAGGTGCCCGAAACCGAATTTGACCAGGTCTTAAGATCACTGAACCTATTGTTATTAAATTTGAATATATTACTTCATATTGTTTGATTTTAATATGGTTGTTTTCAAATAATTTAGTTTGCATAAAACACTTTTAACCTCACCTTGGGGTGCTTGACCATACAAATAGTTAACAGTTGGCTCACAAGGATTGCAAGGTCCAATCTTGATGACGTCATGGTCATCAAAACACGGAGGTGAGCATGGATCACAAGGAGCACTTGGAGGTTCTTGCTCACAGGGTTCACAAGGGGGATTCTCCGTGTAAGAAATTTGAGGATCTGGATCAGGTATCGGTTGACTTAAAGTCGTACCCAAAATAAGAACTGCAAAGTACAAAATATAAAAATAAATAAGTAGTTATATCCTATTAAGATACGCGGTAACTTTACTAAAGTCTGTGATTAAAGGTCATTTAATCTGGCATAGGTACGCAACATTAAAAATCAATTGGAAATTGGGAATTTTGATAGTAATTTTAAAGTTTAAAAACTTTGCATTTTTACACATTTCGTTAAAAAGTCGAGGATTGATGAAATATGCTACTATATATGCTCTACATGGGAGCAGCGGACTCTTATCTGCTCCATAATCTTCTAGACATCAGAATTTGATACTAGCGGTATTTTTGATCTAAAGAAAAGACAACAGAAAGACTTTTAATATAAAGAAATAAATGTCTTTCCTGCATAAAATGAACATTATAATTTGCCGTATTAAAATAAAATTGAAATAACAGTAATTATAATTACCTGATAACCAAACTACTTTACCCCACGCCATCTTGCGGTCGTCTGATTATACAAGCAAAATTTTCAATATTTATACATAGTACGAATAAAATGTTTATATATTTGAATGTAATCAAACTTTATCAAAAATGATGATTTTAAAACAAATGATGTAACGCTTTAATTACCATAAGCTTCAGGTTTAGAAAATATTGTGAATATTTTTTTCTTTGAATTTGATGTCTCAAAATGGTTTGTGAATATAACATAAAATATTTTCATATTACCTTAATCAATTCATCACATTTAAATAGCATTTCATACAAAGTTTATAGTTTGAATAAGTATCAAAAACATACGATTACCCTATCCTTGAAATGATGAATGATGATCGCCATTAATTTAGATTTGTAATTAAAATTTTTTTCATCTTTTCTCTATCCGTCTCCGTGCTTTAAAAAATTGTCACCCCACATTATAAATTTCTTCTGTACCACGGAGGAGTTTTTGAGTATTTACACATGTAGAGAAACATCTAGGTCCGAGACAATTATTTTGTGGACAACACAAATATATGCTCTGGGCGGGAACAAAACACACGACGCCATAACGTCGCAACTAAGTGATTAGCATTGGTCCTTCCGCAGTGAAGCCGAAACCTTCGCTATAATAGTGAGTGGCTTAGTTTCACCGGTGAAGGACCAATGCTATAACTATAATATAGCTGTAGCACGGTTCTACCACGTAAAGTAATTCCGTAAAATAAATGTATTTAATCTAATTTAGCATTAAAATAAAACAACGTCTGACCTTGTTCAGCGATAAGTTACGCATGATGGAGCATCAAACGTATATCAACATTTTTATCAAAGAACGCATATAAAAGGACAGTAAAAAACGGTAAAGCAACAGTTGGCAGGCATGGGGTTCTCAACGCTCTTTGTATTTGGTAAGCATAGCAATCGATTAATTTTTAATTAACAATTATTCTATTTAGATAGTGGGACTTCTTTTCTACCTAGGAGTCCTCTGAGTAGACACAGGAACAGACAGGGTGTCAGCTATTTCTACTACCAAGCAGAATTGCGTGCTCTGCCTTGCTCCGGTCTAAAGGGTATAGAGAGCCAGTAAATCACAGGCTGTAAGACATTAATTACATCTTAGTCCTAAGCGATGAAAACGCATCTATAGACTTCTTGGTTTGAAGTTTGTTGCCAGTGTATATATGCTGCATTAGCCACTTACTAACTGGTGGACTATAAGCTAGTTTTATTTTTCTTTTATTTAATAACAGCCTATTAAAAGTTAACTGCTGAAAAATAGGCCTCCCACGTTTGTCATAAGTAGTTGAAGATAGTACGAAATTCAACGTCAGAGAATGATTTGTTACAATAACACTCAAATGCATTTTGTACTGATATTTTAACTCCGTATAAACATACGCACCAATGTTAGTACGAAAGTAAACTGAATATGTAGAGGTTTCATGACCTTATGAGAAATATTTAATTATCAATTCATTGTTTCGTGTAATAGTAAGACAATTTTAGCAAATTTTTAATTAATTCAATTTTAGCTCTCCTCGGATATGTATCAGCGGCACCGTGGCGATGCTACCGTACCGCCTGTGGGGCCACCGTATGCATTGGAAAGCAAGGAGAGCCCTGCATCTCTCCACCGTCGATATGCATTCCGCGGCTAGTCCCACCTTGCGTCGGACCTGCCCTCGTGTACACACCACCACCACCGTGCCCCGAACCCTGCCCGCCGTGCCCCGAACCCTGCCCACCGTGCCCCGATCCTTGTCCACCGTGCCCTGAACCTTGTCCACCGTGCCCTGAACCTTGTCCTCCGTGCCCTGAACCTTGTCCTCCGTGCTCTGAACCTTGTTTCGAACCAAGCCCACCGTGTTATACTCCGTCGCCTTGTTATTAACCATCCGCTGCACCATGACGGCACCATGCATTCCGCCGCGTTTCTGATTTATTCTTAGATATTGAAATAAAAAACGATATTAAACAACATCGGAAGTTCCGAAATTTCTTCCAAAATATTTATTCTTCTTCACATGCTATTTGTAATCAAAAAGTATTTACAATATTATTATATAAAATTGGCTAAGTAAAAATTAAATTAATAAATGTTTTTGCAATTCCTTGGCGTGTTTTAGTAGATGTAATTACCCTAAACCTACCCTTTTCATTTACATTTAAAAAGAGTAACCTCTTACGGATAAAGAATGGGATTATATATGGCGACTCATCGAGCCCGTATCGTTAACATGCACAGTACAAAGAACGAAAACCCCCTAATAACGGTATATCGTTATTATGTTAATTTGAGCGTTAGTTATATTATTAGATTAGTGGTAAATTTTCTATTAATAGGAATATATTTTATTAGAATTGTATACACAAGTAGACACATTATTATTTCTTAAATTTACGCGAAAACTACACATTGAATAAAACTATTATTTACGGATTTTATCGCGTTTAATTACTTTAATTTATTTTTATTATTATCCCGACGTTTCGGGTGCTTTACAGCGCCCATGGTCACGGGGGGACTGAGATGTTTGACGTCCCAATGTCATAGTTAGTCCGGCTACCTTCAGCTTTTTAATATTAATTTTTGGTCCGATTTACGCAACGAACGATTTACGAAAAATTAATAGGTATTAAAAAGCTGAAGGTAGCCGGACTAACTATGACATTGGGACGTCAAACATCTCAGTCCCCCCCGTGACCATGGGCGCTGTAAAGCACCCGAAACGTCGGGATAATAATAAAAATAAATTAAAGTAATTAAACGCGATAAAATCCGTAAATAATAGTTTTATTCAACAAGTAGACACATTATTATAAAATTTATATCCAGTGACCAGTGCTGGCTTCGTTTAGATAGAATTGATTTATTTAGTAGTATATATTAGTTAATTATTCACGAAGATTCAGATAAAACAACGTATTTCTTAAATTCGGTTTATATTAATTTAAATAATATTCAATAAACATGTATTTCAAATGGGACAGACAGGCAAGAAACTCTATAGACATTTATTTTTTACATATAGTTATCTTTGAAAATTAAATTCTGCTACTTGAACCTTGACCAGAATCGTCTGAGAACACTTTAATTCCCGCCATCCCATCGTTATCTTCCATTTTTAGAATCGGAGCAGCTATCGCTTTCACAATCACTGTTCATCCACGATGATTTTTGGAGGTGTGTTTAGAATTAATTTTTCCTCAATATATTTATTAATTTATTTAATCTTTATTGTTTTACACCTTAATCTGAGGGTTACAATGGCGGACTTAATGCCTTATGGCATTCTCTACCAGTCAACCCTGGGAGAATTTGACATGTAATGGTTGTAGGTGCTAAAAATATTAAAATGTATAGACGTATATTGTAAATAAATATACATGCATTCATACTAATATACATAAAGAAAATAAAATAATAAATTATGAATTTAGGTATAGAAACACAAATACACAGTTTTCCTCAAGATACCTAGGCTGCACTAAAAGTATCGGGAATGGAATATTTCCATTGTTCCTGTCATATTAAAATCTTTTTAATTGAAAACTCCTTGGTTTTAAAAAATCGAATACCATTTATTTATTTAAAAAAAGATTCTCGGTCTTGTCACAAGGTTTTGTCAAAATTGTTTAGTCGTTGAGAAAATGGAATTGACTCGAGAAAATTCAAGAGCAATGATTTATTATGACTTTCGAAGTGGTTTAACACAAAAACAGTGTGTTGACCGGATGATTTCTGCATTTGTTGATAAAACCCCATCCAAAAAACACAATTTATCGCTGGTTTGCTGAATTTCAACGTGGACGTGTCAAGCTCAGTGATGATCCCCGTCAAAGTCGTCCAAAAACTGCAGTCATCGAAGAAAACGTTGATGCTGTGCGTAAGCTGATTGAGGAAGATAAACATGTGACGCACCGCAAAATTCAAGCAACTTTAGACAGTGGCATGAGTCAAATACAAATAATCTTGCATGAACAATTAGGTGTAAAAAAGTTGTTTTCCCGATGGATACCGCATTCGCTCTGTGAAGAGCAAAAAGCGGCTCGCGTTACTTGGTGCGTCAGAACTCTCGAAAGATTCCACGCAGGATCCTCAAAAATGCTGTATACAACATCGTATCAGGTGACGAATCCTGAATATATGCGTATGAACTCGAAACAAAAAACCAGTCACGAGTTTGGGTGTTCGATAATGAGTTAAAGCCAACAAAAATTGTTCGTTCACGGAGTGTTGCAAAAAAAATGGTGGCCACTTTTGTCTCCAATACCGGCCATGTTACGACTATTCCTCTTGAGGGACAAAGAACGGTTAATGCAGAATGGTATGCTAGCGTTTGTTTGCCACAGGTCGTTTCTGAACTCCGTAAAGAGAACTGCAACCGCCGCATCATCCTCTATCACGACAATGCGAGTTCTCACACCGCACACAGAACAAAAGAGTTTTTAGAGCAAGAAAACATAGAATTATTAGACCATCCGCCGTACAGCTCCGACATAAGCCCTAATGATTTCTATGCTTTCCCTAAAATAAAGAATAAATTGCGTGGACAGAGATTTTCATCACCTGAAGAAGCTGTGGACGCGTACAAAACGGCCGAATCTCCATTTTGGAGACCCCAACTTCCGAATGGAATGGTTGCTTCAATGATTGGTTCCATCGTATAGACAAATGTGTCATATTTCGCGGAGAATACTTCGAAAAGTAATAAATACATTTTTAAATAGTAATGTTGCGTCACTTCCTTGATTCCCGAAATAGTGTTGCCGGACTAGTTTTTTAAACGCGTACTTATTCGATACTTTTCTTATATTAACGGGCAAGGCGTTCCAGAGAATTATTGTCTGAATTGTCAAAGAAAACTAAAGGAAACAGTACTATGCTGAGGTAAATCAATCTTAAGGACGTAAGAGGAACGAGGTTCACGGTCGAAAGTTGAACACCGAAAGTGGAATTTATCTTTAAGATAAGAACGAGAAGTCGGATCATTTTGTGAAATTTTGCCTATTCAATTCATCATGGTAAACGCTGTTATTGGTTTCGGCCTTAAAATCAACTCAGCATCCTTTAAAAATACATTTTCTGAACCTGCATGCACAATAATCCATCTCCTTGGGTTCCGTGCCACCAAGTCTACCACTGTTTAGTATTTATTAAATAATATACTATTATTATCTTGTTTTCATTATTTGTTAATTAAGTATAGAATACGTAGTATCATTGTAGTGCTAATTAGAAAAAATTGATAGATTCAATGATGGTATTACCACTTTTAAGATACAAGAAGAAACACAAAAATTGTTGGAAAATTAAATTTTTCGAAATTTCTTATATAAATACCCCTTGGGCTTAAACATTCTATTCACTTAATTATTTGCCAATAAAGTGACCATTATAGTAACTAATAAGTAAAAAGTTACAGCCCTGCGACAGAGACAGATAGACTTAGTAATAGCGTTCCTTAGGGCACTCCACCTGGTAGTGGCGGTACGAAATAATCCACTACCCCATATCATCACGTGGGTGTCGTAAGAGGCGACGGAGGGAAACAAAGCAGGAGATAGGCAACAGCATCTTACTAATAACGAATAAAAACGAAAAAAAAACAATTGGTTGCCAACCTGCTTGCGAAGCGTGGCAACTATGGCAGAATTTCCCCATTGCGGCAAACTACGAGGGAGGCTTATTCAGTAGCATACTTTAGTAGGATGTAACGGTACGATAAAAAGCACACTTTAGGTACGAAACCTTAAGGACGCGTTTGCAAATCAACCAAAATTAGGGTGTTTTTCGGTAGATTTTGTGACAAAACTAAACCAAATCAAATATAAGTAAAAACTACCATGTATAGATTGGTTCTTCATCTGCAAATGTCTGTAACTCTTTTGTTGAAAATAGTAGTTTTTTATATTGTAAAAACGAACTTTCGTTGCCATTTTCTACAAAATTAACGATACCGGCTTGTGTTTCGGTAAATGTTTTGGTCTATTATCAACATATTTAAAAAATTTAAAAAATACTATAAGATGACAGACATATTCAATTAAAAAACCCTGGGTTTATTTTTTTAACAAAATGTCACTAATAGTCGTAAAAAAAATAAAAACTGATGCACATTTTTTCGCATATTTTGGTAATATGGATGAATCATAATGTATTGCAATAAGGGCTATTTTATTGTTGGTGCCTGCTTTGATTTATTGTACAAAGATTTCGATGAAACCACAGTCCGCGCTCGGCCGCCGTCGTGAGTGGACACTGTATCGCCTGTTTGCAGCGGCTCATTCTGAAAAGATCGCTGTACATACACAAAATATTAGAAAAAAACAAATTGGAAACATAGGTACTTGACAAGTGATAAAATTATTATTTTTATACTCACAGTTTTTATTTAGCTAAAAATAAGTAGGATATATAAACTTACCTACTACTGCAACTCGTGGACGAGCGGAACTAGGTGTGCCGAGTTTGGGCTCGTTTTGTTGGTTATGATGAGACCTTACCTCTGGACTTGATGGCATGACCTGAAGGTGTACTTTCGTGACCGCTATTTGAACTTCTTGCAGAGTAAAACTAGGGGTGACGAATTTGGGCTCCGTTTTGTTAGTTATGACGAGTCTATACCTCTGGACTTGATGGAGTGACCTGAAGGTCTAAATCGGTGATTGCAACTGGAACTCCTAGACTGGTAGAACTAGGTGTGCCGAGTTTGGGTTCGTTTTGTTAGTTACGATGAGACCTTACCACCGGACTTGATAGAGTGACCTGAAGGGGTAATTCAGTAACTACTGCTGGAATTTCTGAACGAGTAGAACTAGGTGTGCCGAATTTGGGCTTCGTTTTGTTAGTTATGACGAGTCCATACCTCCGGACTTATGGAGTGACCT